ACACCTTGTCAAAGGCTTTTGAGACATCCAAAAACAAAATGCCAGTACTCATGCTGAGGGTGAACAATCTGGTTACATGTTCCACCAGCCTGACTGCCTGTAGCTCGGTGCTATGCTCGGACCGAAAACCGAATTGGACGTCAGGAATCACATGGTAATTTGACGAAAAATTCTCAAGGTGACGATAAATCACCTTTTCGGCGAGCTTAGGAGCTGACAGCAGACTTATAGGACGGTAATCCTGAGGAAATATCGAACCCACCTTCTTTGGAATCATGTTGACCTCAGCAGTCTTCCACCCAGCAGGGAAGTACTGGATTTTGAGCGTCGCATTGATTATTGTCAACAAGTATGTCAGGGCTTTCGGCGAGAGCAGCTTCAAAGCCTTGTGGGTGATTTGATCCTCCCCAGGTGCTTTACGTACCTTGAGGTCTTTAATATGACTTAGGAGCTCCGCTGGTGTGCAATGTGGAAACTCGGAGGGTTCCGCTAATGTGCTATGTGGAGCCTCAGACGAATCTTCTGAAGAAGAGTCATCTGAAGAGGATTCCGTGCCTCCGCTAACGCCGTTGGCCCTAAAATATCTCCTGATGGATCGTACGATGTGCTGTTTCTCGTCGAGGTCATTATCGAGATCATAATTGGGAGAGAACTGTTTTTCCATGGCATCAGCGAAAATCTCGACCTTATCCTCCGTTCTGAATACTATGCGTTCCGGACCGTGGATGTGTGGGAGTTGTTCTCGCTTTCCGTTTCTGAGTGACTTTGCGACCCTCCAGAGAGGAATACTTGAATCAAGCATTCCCGCCAGAAAGTCGCTCCATTGCTCGTTGCGGAGTTCGTGCAGTGCGTTTCTCACTTCATGGACAAGATTTGTAGCCCTACGAATGTCATCAGGATGACAAGACCTTTTTGCCTGCTTAGTAGCGGCTCTTTTGTCAGAGATTTTCTGACGAATGTCCGCAGGCAAAAAAGGTCTGCCGTGTCGTTGTACAGGAAATACAGCTGCACGCTGTAGAGCTGCTTGAATGAAACTTGTCCACTCCGCTTGAGCGGCATCTATTACAGACTCATCATCTATAATCGGGATATTGTGAAACTCTCTAAGAAGCAACTTGTATAGGTCCCAATCAATGCGTTTCCTTGGAGGAGCTGCCTCCTCAGAAGTTTGCTCATTGCCCACATCCAAGACAACAGGTCACAGAGATATCATACAAGATTTGAGAAGAGATACTGTATCTACAGTTTTTAGATATCACGAAATCGATGACATCTGGTGCCTGAAGATGGTAGAATGGATGATGTGTTCGCTCTTCAGTGCTATGTATAAGGTACCCATTTCGCATCACATGGTTGTACAATCGAACCCCACTAGTGGAATTCAACTTAGAATTCCATGCTCGATGTTTGCAGAAGTCCCCTGCCACAATAAACGGACCCGAGTAGTCCAAAAGGACCTCCAGATCCGCCTCTTGTAGCCTGGCACCACATCTGACATACACCGATGTGATCTTCAACGAGACACCTCCCGCCATATTGACCACCACAGAAGCTGCTTCGATGCTATGCATCTCCGCATTAGTGTTTCTATAATAGTCTACACCGCGCTTAATCAACACTGCTAAACCGCCGCCTCGACCATTCAATCTGTCACCTCGGATAACACATAATTCGGGAGAGCTAAACGATCTCCCGGATGAAGCAACGTTTCCTGCAGCAAGGCTACATCTATACCTTCATCCAAAAGAGCTTGATAAAATTCCCGTTTTTTGGGAGTATCCCTCATGCCCAAACAATTCCAAAAAAGAATGTTGATGAATGCAGGCTGTCTACTATTGTACCTAGACATTTACAGGAAATATCGCCTGCAACGCTTGGGTAGCGCTAATCAGTGGGCTTATTATTTGTTGTAAGGACCTTAGCACGGTTGCCAGGTCCACATTTTGCGTGCTCAAGGGAGGTTGGGCAGAGGGGGCAGGCAAGGTTGCCTCCCGAGCTGCGTCCGCGTATGATATATTGGGCCTTTGCGCTATAACTTGCAAAATCCTCCTTAGAGTGAAATTGCAAGTCCGGCTATTTGCGGGATGTCCCTCTCCACAGTTCGCGCACTTGCGTTCTTCCTCTTCTGTGAGGGGGCACAAATGCGTCATGTGGTCCTTTGCACATTTTAAGCATTGGGGCGGTGCAGTGCAATATGACTGCGCATGCCCATACTTTTGGCAGCGGTTACACTGCCCAATGAGTCTGGAGTTCTTCTGAACCTCAACTCCAATGGCCAGTCCCAGCTGAGACTGTTCAGTCTTGGGCAGTATCACGACCACCAAAGGCATGGGCGCGCCGCCGCTGCGCTTCAATCGAATGATGTGAAGAGGGCTATATCCCCTCTGCTCCAGTTCTCCCTTAATCTCAGTTTCCGAAAAGTTGACGGGAACTCCTCGAACCACCGCATGGATGTTCCGTTCCGAAGGGAGAGGAAAAGTGTGATGGGGCACTTCTTCCTCTCGGAATAGGCGAACGATCTTACGGTAGTCGTCCTCGGTTTTATTAATAATCCTTATTCCCGCATCGACGGCAAACGGGTTTTTTTTTAAAACCTAGGGAAATAAACTTGAAATTTAAAGTACGCCATCTCGTCCCGTAGGGTAAGACGATCGGGGTTATGCGCCCTTGTCGTGAGGGTTGTGTTGACGCCACGACGGTGTGACGAGATGACGGAAGAGAAGTAACATCGGCTGACGGAGTCACCTGACAGGTAGATAACGTGGTCCCTGGCTTGGTAGTAGAAGCATTAATATTGTTTGATGAATTGGGGGAGGTGTGAAATGGATTGATCCTGTATTCGGAAGAGGAGGAAAGTCTTGGGTTGATCGATCAGCCTTGTCGCCTTTCCTCCTTCTTGATTTTGCTTTTACAAATCCTTCGGTCTGTACGTCCTCGTCTGTGGATGTGAGATGATCATCAGTAACGTTTCTCAGTGGTCTTTTTAGGGTCTTTGTCCGTTCTTTAGGGGATTCTTTCGAATTTAGTAATATTGTTACCTGGGCGGCCAGGCTGTCAATTTTGGCTGTCTGGTCCTTGATGGTCTCCATTAGGTCTCGAATCTGCCTCGCCTGGTCGTCTATAATCAGCATCAGTCTTTCGACGACATCTGCGTCAGTGTACTCATGTTTTCTGCTTCTGCTTGGTTTCCGCCACCGCTCAGCTCTTTCCTCATAGTATGTGGAACTGCGTCGTCTGTTGATCCTCCTGGGTCAACTTCCATCTTTTAACAACTTTTTCTCGCCAACAAATCTCAAAAAACTTATAGCTCGCAAATGTGACAATGTTGTCAAAACCCTTCTTACAGCGCGACTATCCTGTAAGTTGTGTGTGTTGATGATAATAACATTGGGTTCTTGTCTCAAATACACTTAATTGAGATTCAAAGCTAGAAATTAGGTGCGCATCCACTTTTTCTTATCCATTCTGGAAATTACATATTCAAATTTGCTGAATTTCAAAAATGAGAGAGATAAGAAATAATTATATTCACTGTACACTGTCGAATTACAAGCCATATACATGCTAACAGATTACACAGAACGCGGGCGCGGTGATCATTTCCCGTAATTCTCCTCAGTTTTTCGTAATTTATAACTTTGAACATAACCTCTCTCGAGAAAGCACAGCATAAGAATAACACGTCGGGCACAGCCAATAGATATACTTCATTGGCAGTATATTCAGTAATGATTTCCTCACACAGCAAATATCACTGATTTTATAGACGTGCAGACCAATACACATAATCAACCAGATGCGATCTTGCTATTCAACCAACTTTCTTCTAAGAGATAAAAGCTACAGACAAGGACCATTTGGCCTCACAAAACTATGCAACCAATAATGCGTGTATAGCTTAGTTGAGTGATTCCCCCATAGATGGACGTTCACAACGATCCTAGTGAGCAAATGTGGAATGACTGTTTGCACCCTAAAAAACTACCTAGTCTGCAAGTTGACATATTATAGGTTTTTTTTGACGTTTTGTAGGTTTTTTACATGACACTCCTGCCGGTACTGAACCGGAGCGGGAACAGATGGAATTTCCCCTTCCTCCCGAAGTTTTAACAGTTTCAAGTTACACCGGAAGTGGTTAGATGGCGTATGTTACGCAAACTGTTTGCTGTAAGCTCCTTGATAAAGTTAGCTGCCCTGTTTGAATCTGAAATAAAAAGACCGATCGTTTTTTGTGCAATGTACATATATATCAATAAAATCAATCATTTGATATGACTAGTGCGGTTCATACATCTTCGATGACCTTCTCCCTCGACATTTAAAATCAGGTGGACGTGTTCCTCCATTTATGATTTAATCATTCAACTCAATTTTCAGCACTGCGAAGACAAATTTTCAATTGAGTTGCCTGTTTTTTAAATGACATTGACATAAAACCGGTCACCCGCTAGTACCTCAGTCATTAGGCGGGTACCCGTACCACGTGATTTTTTGACTTTCGGACGACGTCACATCCGTCTTCGCGAAAATTTGAGTATCAGTTCCCGGTGTGCTACACCGTCGACTCGCGAAAAAATCCTTAGTGTATGTGTTTTGTGATGTAAACATAACCTTGCCTTATTTTAGGAAAAAAGACTTCAAAATCCTACAAAAAATGCGCTTTCAGTCCCGTTTCTGAAAATGATCAGGGCAACTATCGTACATTTCCATATATGAATTCTTTGATCTAAAATATCCAAGTATTTATAAACTATAGACTGGACTCCAGTAGCAAACACTGAAATTGCGAATAATTAACTTGCTATGGATCTGATTTACCACACAATGGATACCAAACAGGAGGCTTTAGATTGTGACAGGTATACAAAAATGTATAGTTTAACAAACCACTATTTATAAAAATTGTATATATCAGAATAAAAGATGAAAACACCTTGGTTCCTGGTTAACAAGCCTCCAGAAACCAATGTTCATATAGGAGAATAAAACTTGAAACAGAAATGTATGACTCTTTTAAATTTGGACATCATATGACTCAAGATAATAACAAATTGAGCTTTATGAATACTAAACTAGGCAAAAGCGATATAGAAACCTTGATCTTACCAATTGAAGTAGTTAAACTTGAGAATATCAAGTCTGAAATGTATGCTGATGAGACATGTGTCAGCATGGATCCTGAGCAAATGAAGGAAGACTTAGATCTAGAAACTGATACAAAATTAGTTATATCAGCTATGCTACATACAAAATTAGATGTTGAAAGTCATGGAAAGAGTTGCACAGATGTTTCATTAGGAAGGTGAGTTTTTTGTAAGTGTTACACAGTTCTCAAAAAATGTTCGTCTTATTATTGCATACTGACTATTTTCAGAATACTAAGACAATCACTCTCAATTTCCAAACAATATTATACTGGCATGAAATGTTATTTATAGAGAATTTTGGACCATCCGTGGTCATGTTAATTAGCTACCATATATTTCGATAAGTTAGTTTGACTACTGATGCCGGCTACATCAGCATGGTATCCCAGTATGGGTGAGCTCTTATATGACAAAATTTCCTTTTTCATCACATTCGCACAAGGAAATGAAACCTAGTACAGTTTTGTAGGTTGAGGCCTGATTTCAGATGTGACCTTCCAAAAATTGTGGGATGTTATGAAGTCTAATTTAAGGTTGGATCCTAAAATCTATAGGTGCTGAATTCAGAATCTATGCACCCAGCTTAGCCAGAGGACAAATTCTCATCCAAATCTCAGATACTTTGGGAAGCCACATAATATAGGCAATCATATATATGGGAACTTTATGGAGTAAAATCTCCTTTTTTATATACTGTTGTCACATTTCATATTCACACAAGTTGTGATCAAAAATGAAACATTATACACAGGACGGCATTTTAAGGGGGCTCTTCTATGTAACATTTAACTTTTCCTCAAGGGCTTCATTTAAAAGATATAGGTTGGGGTGTTCAAGTTTAAAAATGAAAAACTGAAATTTGGTATGTGGATTTACCTAAGTATTGTCCACATTCAAAAGTCTACTTAAAATTATCGTGCATCTGGAGCAGGGTTACAGCGGATTATTGGCATTATTTTTCCAAATAAAAATAGTACTACCCTGTTTTTTTTTTGAAGGACGCAGTTTTTCAAATTATACCTTGAATTTTCTACAAATAATTACTCTTGTGCTTTTTCCTAGAGTGCACTGTTTTCGTAAAAATAAAAATAAAACAAATTAGATCATTGATACCTACTTGACGTTTCTTGGAAGGTAGTTTGTCAAAGTTATGTGATATATGACAAAATTGGTTAAGGCTTTCGCGGCCAGTTGATATGTGTTATATTATACTACATTTTTGTTTTTGTAAAAGTCAAGTCTATAGTTTTTTTTTTCATTTTTGAGTGTTGTGAAATGGAATTTAGCAATGATGAGTACGCCGATATTATTTTTGTGTACGGGTTCTGTAATCGAAATGTTTTAGCGGCTTCTGTTGGAGTATCAGAGTAGATTTCCTAACAGACGCCAACCTACCCCAAAGGTTTTTACTAATTTGTTTTTTATTTATTTTTACGAAAACAATGCACTCTAGGAAAAAACACAAGAGTAATTATTTGTAGGAAATAGAAGGTAAAATTCGAAACATTGCGCGTTTCCAGAAAAACAGAGGCATACTATTTTTATTTGGAAAAATAATGCCACTAATCCACTGTATCTCTGCCACTGGTGTACGTTAATTTTAAGTAGACTTCTGAATATGGACAATTCTAAATTTTAGTTTATTCCAGTTGACTGTTTTGAAGATATTAAAAAAAAATTTAAACTTCAACACGTCATATCTTTTTATGAAGCCCTTGAGGAAAAAATGTTACATAGAAGAAACCCCTTAAAACGCGGTCCTGTGTATGTTTCATTTTTGGTCACGACTTGTGTATAGTGATTTGGGGTGCTAAAAAATCGTAAAGGGTGCTCGATTGGGTTGTTTTGTACCTCACCAATCCTAGCGATAAACTGAAGTTAGATTTGGAATCTGTGCCTTAGATTTGCCAGAAAATCGAGCTTCAGTCTAGCTCGCATATAAGAGTGAGATTACGAGAATTTTTTTATAGTAAACCTCAAAATATGAAAGAGGTTGTTAAAAAACAATAAAACTTGATATACCATGATAGTAGGCGTTGAATACGAATATGGCCATAAAAAATCATGAAGTGTCGTGGGGCAGGTAGTAAATACGTCGCTAGGAACTTCCTGTGGGTCATCGCATCAAATAGACGTCGGATTTGGAACGTATAGTCAACGCCAAACAAAGTGGCGTGCACGTCATCACGATAAAAATTCCCCGACCTAATGCCTAGGTTTCTATCACAAACAATTGCTCTATTGCAGTTTCATATTAATGTGATATATAAATTTTAAAATGGTCATTACTCTCTTATTATGGTTAATAGTCATATAAACATTGTTATTAAAATATCACATAAGTTGCTTTCTGATAAATTTAGACGCATTATGCGAAATAAAATGTTTTGCAAACGCTCCAATCACTTATCGACATGTAAACGCACTAAACCGATTTCGCAGCGTTGACACATTGTCACCTTGAAACTTATTTAAACTGGGAACTGACATTTGTATTAATTTTGACACTGAATCAATTTGTGGCATTTCAAATCTTTATAAATCCTTTGGCCCCGCATACTGTAAATCAACAACTGTTTGTTTCAAAACAAAATTATTCATTTTACGAGTAGATAAAGGCAATTTTGGTATATAAAGATGCCCAAACAGTTAAATAGTCGGTGTAAGGAACTCGTGGCCTCGTTAATGCACTACTTTGAGCAAGAAAGGGACAACAACGGGCCTTTGTTGCCTTTAAATGCTGTTCAAGAGGTAGGTTACTAATAATTATATGTAATGTATATTAATAATAGTGAAATTTTATTTCATTTTTTGTAGCGTGTTGCTGCTGCTTTAAAAATTAGTTTAAGGACAGTTAGTTCTATTTCCGAGGGTGTGAAAAGTGATGCAAATTTAGAATCGCCCAAGAAAAAGCGGAATTATATTAAACGTGTAACCAACACAGCGACATTGGATACAAGTGCCATTCGAGAAGTGATCTATAATATGTATCACAAAAGTAAGATCTTATTATAATAACTTATCAGAAATTTGCATTAATTTGTTAACTAAATTATAATGTCATATTACACATGGTTTCAGAAGAACAAGTTACGATACAAACTTTATGGTCTCGATTAAGAGATAGGGCATTATTTGATGGTAGTGCCACGTCTTTAAGGCGGTTGCTTAGAGATCTTGGATTTAAGTGGCTTAAGGACAATCCGCGACGAGGGCTCATGGAACTACCAAGTATAGCTTTGAAAAGGGTGGAATTTCTAAGGCAATACAATCAAGCCAAGGTTGAGGCCTTATACCAGTTTGTCTTCCTCGATGAAACTTGGATATTTCAAAATGGGACCATAGGTCGCTCTTGGCAAAATGGAAACCAAAAAAGCGTGAAAGCTATTAAAACAGATGGTAAAAGGTATGTACTTTTACACAATTTGCACTATAAAATTTAAAACTAATATATTTTAGATACATTATATTACATGCTGGAAATGAAAATGGGTTTATTGAGGGTAGTGAAGCGATATTTTCTTCGAAAACAAAATTGAGTGATTACCATGGAGAGATGAACCAGGACAATTTTTTGAAATGGTTTCAACATCAGTTATTAGAAAAATTGGAGAGTCCATCTATGATTATACTGGATAATGCCCCTTATCACAGCATGATATTGAACAAAGTGCCCAACAATGCATGGACAAAAAAAAATATCCAAGACTGGTTGACAAATCAAAACATACCATTTTTAAACACAATGTTTAAAACAGAGCTATTGAGTATTGTTGCTCGGTACATAATGCTTCTTAATTATATATATTTTGGTCGACAGTTTATATTTCTTTTGTTTATTCCTATTCTTAAAATAACTGCTTTTTTAGAAACAAACCACCTAAAATATACGTGATTGATGAATTGGCGGAACAACATGGGCACAAAGTTCTTCGTCTGCCTCCTTACCATTGTATATTTAACCCTATTGAGTTAATTTGGGGCATAGCAAAAGGTTACTATAACAGACATATTGGTAGAGATGGTAACAGTGAAAAAGACTGTTTGGATATGTGGAACGAGGCTCTACAAATGGTTACCCCAGACATGTGGAAAAATAGTGTTCAACATACTGAGCAAGAAATTTTTAAATGGTATGAAAGAGAACGAATTTTTGATCGACCAGACATCGAACCTTTAATAATCAACTTTGAGAGTGATGAAGATTCAGATTCAGACAGCGCTGAAGAAAGAAACTCCGACTAACTTTATTCTACAGAAAAAGCTTACACCAGTAGCTTACCTAATTTTAGAATGCATTTTTCTGTATGAATTCTGTAAAATAAATACCATGCATAAAATTTGGAGGACCCCATTTGGATTTTTATTCAGTACCTTTAAGCTATCAATTAAATATGGTAGTTTCATAGTGTCATCTGATCAATAATTGTCATACTTAATGATTATGCAAGTACAGATCTATAATTTTATTATACTATTATTTTTGTTCTCATTTGAGGTTAATATTGCTTATAAACCTAGATATGTAAATAATAAATTTTATTATTTTACAAAAAGTTTGGCAACAATGTAAATTTTTCAACACACCCACCTTGATGACGTGCACGCCACTTTGTTTGGCGTTGACTATACACATCCAGCTTATCCAGGATACGAGTTTTTGTCTAAATCACACATTCACGCCAGTTTTTGAAAATATTCTCATGAGAAATCTCAAAATAATATTATTGAAATAAAATAACCAATTACGTATGGATGACAGTACATCTGTTTTAGGGTTGCTGATAATGATTCGAGTGACCAAGGATCTGCCCGAATCTGTATATACTGCAAAACAGAATTTGAACATAAATTTAGTTTGGAGGATCACATAAAAAATTAACATCTGAGTGTCAACGCATCTGGTCCAATCAAACTACAGCAGTTCACGATATGAAACATCACAAGTAATGATTTCAAGGCTCATCAAATGAAACATCCTGAAACAACAGCTACTTATGAATTCAACACGAGTATACATTGTAATGCACTCTTTAGAAGTAAGGAAAGCTTAGATGATCATATAATTAAGAAACATCCTGATTTTATTTCATCTGTTACTAGCAAAATGTATGAATGTAAACAGTGCAGTTTTCAAACTACTATGAATTATTTTTGGAAACATATGTTACGCTATTCGCAAACTAATCATAAAGCTAAGGATGTTCACAATGCAACTTTGAATTTCAAAGCAAACAGGCTGTAGATGATCATGTAGTTAATGAACATCCAAATTTTCTTGAATTTATTACTAGCAAAATATACGAATGCACACAGTGCAGTTTTAAAATTGCAATTAACTATCATTTCCAGAAGCAACTATTGAAACATCCAGAAACAGGCACAGACTCTGTACATAGTATTTGTCAACACTGTAATACACTGTTTCAAAGTAAATCTATGCTTGATGACCATATACTTAGAAACCATCCAGATTCTATCTCAACAGTTAGTAACCAAATACACGAATGTACAAGGTGTACTTTCAAAGCTACAGAGTGGAACGATTTTAAAAAACATATGCTGAACCGTCTGAATGATACAACCGCTAATTCTATACTTCTCAAGTGTGTCCACTGTAACATGTCATTTCAAAGTAAACTGTCACATGATAACCACATAATAAAAAGCATCAAAATTTTATATCTTCTGTTAATACTCACATTTATGAATGCACAGAGTGCAATTTCAAAACTGCTTTTAAGGTTTCTTTAGACAGACATCGATTGACACACCCTGAGACAACCGATAAATGTAAACTGAACATATGTATACACTGTAATGCATAATTTAAAGGTAAACAGGCATCAGATAACCATGCAATAAATCAACACCCAGATTTTATTGGATCTGTTACTAACAAAATGCACGACTGTGCCAAGTACTCTTTCAAAACTACCATGATGAATCATTTTAAAAACCATTTGTTGAAACACCCTGAAACAAGGGCTGAATATAAACTCCTCACATGTCCATATTGCAATACATCATTTAAACGTAAAATACCACGGGACGAAGATATAATAAGGGACCATCCAGACCATGTTTCGTGTGTTACTAGCCAGATACATGAATGTACACTATGCCCATTCAAAACTACTTTTAAACACTATTTCATCAGGCATCTGGTGAAACATCCTGAAGTGCCCGACAATTCTAAACTCCATATCTGTACAGAATGTAATGCGTCATTCAAAACCAAACTAAGATTGAATAATCATATTATTAAGGAGCATCCAGGTTTTATCTCAACTGTCAGTAACAAAATACATGAATGTTCTCAGTGCCGTTATAAACCTACCGTCAACTTTCAATTTAGGAGTCCTTGTTAAAACAGCCTGAAACCGCAAATTATTTATAACTTCTTCGACTGTTCACACTGTAGTCCGTCATACAAACGGAAGGTAGCGCCTGATGAGCACATAATCAGAAAACGCGGAAACGTTATTGCATCTGTCACTAGCCGAATACATCGCACGATATGCGAGTTTAAGACCACCTTCAAGGACTTTTAAACAAACATTTCTTGAAACATTCTGAAACGTTTAATAATTGTAAACTGAATTCAAATAGGATGTCATGCATCATTTCAGACCAAAACATTACTTGATAACCATATATTACAGCTTCATCCACAATTTACGGACTGCGTTACTAGCAAAGTATACGTCTGTACACAGTGCGATTTTGAGACTACCATGAGCGATCTTTTCAAATACGCTGAAACATCCTAAAGCACCTACAATAAATTGACCAATTATAGGTAGTTAAAATCCGAATTACTAATCTTTTACAGGAGGTAGGCTACTTGCTTAGGTAATGAAGTATTTAACAGTCCAGTAACAGCTATATAATTTTTCTACCATTAAGATACTATCAATCATTCTGTAAAATATTAGATATTTGGTTACTTGGCAACTGAAGTGTATCATAACTTTAAAAAAGTTGAAAACCCTTTAAACATCCCTTTTCAAACAGCTCCCACCCCAAGTTATTTCTGGGTAAAGATAGCAAGCTGAAATTCAGGGCGAAGAAATGTACGCGAGAATACTATATTTCATATCTCGCCACCTTTTTTGAACATTTTTAAATGGAACTTTGGGGTCAAGTGATACTCATTTTGAAGCTCCTTATGATTATTTTGCAACCATAGAATGTGAAATGGCTATCTTCCATGTCAAGTATAAGTGTTTTTGCACATTGAATGGTTTATAACTCGACAGCCAATCATGAAAACGCTCTTGGAAGGATCTACCTGAAGATATAATCAAATATAGAACATTCGATTTAAAAAACTGTCAAAATATGTGACCTTTTTTTATGGATTTTCCCATACTTCATTGCATATTCAGGACTGCGTCCTTGAATTGTTACAGGGTGTTACTTGGTACTATACTCTGTAACAATATCAGCGTTCGTAATTGTTTGACGTACCTCTTCCATGCGTTCGGAAATAGAACATAGTAATCCTTCTGGAAAGTAGTTTTCCTCCCGTGCTCAAAAACTTGGGAATAAGAGCGTTGTCACGTCATTCCTTTGGTTAAGTGTTTGTTTACTTTATTTGGTTTTCAAAAAGTGCACAAAATTGGCAGAATATTCATATTTTTCACGATAAATGGGCTACACTGTATCCACAGCATTTTTTATGAATACAATGGTCGCAGAAAACGTGGTTAGAAATTAGTTGAAGTGTCATCCCATGACTGAAATGATTTAGGCGTTCTAAAAATAAAGCAGTATTCCAGAGTAAGATTTCAAAAGTCAATCTACAATCCATTACTGTGTACAGTATTACATTACCAAGTGATTTACAAACGCACCCCGGGTAGACCTATACTATTCCAGATGCTATACCATTTTGATGTTGAAAGATAGTAATTTTATCCATATGATTACAAAGTACTGAGAAGTACATTCATGATGATGTATCTCATGATCCCTAATGTCAGTCAAATAAGTGTTCCACGATGGCGCCATTTTTAAATTTTGAACTTCAACTCTAAAGTCTAAAATATAGTATTCATGAGTTATATCAGCCGTTCCTGCTGATATGATAGGAATACTGCCGACGATGCTACTAATTTCCTAGAAGACCTAGAGTTTACTTTATTGTTCTCAACACATTTTACAGTCAGTCAGATTTAAGCCTTTGTACTGTTTACATCATAATAACATTGTAATAATTTTGTAAAAGTACAGTTTTGAGTTTTGTATTTTCGAAAAATAAACTTTTTAAAAAGCGATCTCGAAGCATCGATCTTATAACTGGCGCAGTCAATCCAGTAGGATCAGAAATACGCGATCCGGGAAAGAATTTCGCAAACCGTCGCGACGGGACTTTTCAAGACTCTTATTTCAAGAAGGGTTTCTTGTGACACCGTATGCAAACATCAAGTTGCTTTATCAAAAACCTAAGAATAATTTGAATTTTGTTTCCAACGAACCTCGCACTGAGCTTGTCATAAAAGTTAAAACATCCATAAGCGATGGCGAAATTATTATACCCCACCAAAAAATCCATAATTGTGAAATACCGGAATGCTTGACTATTGCGAAAGATAGTTATGCTTTGACGACCTTACTGAACAATACGACAGATACCGTTACACTCGACTTTTCTGAACCCCTTTCTGTTGAACCATTTTACCAGTCTATACATCCGACGATATGTCGAGAATTTGATCTTAATAATATCAACGATTCTCCAGCCAATAAACTAGACTATTCCAAAATTAGAGTAGACCACCTAAATTCAGAAGAACAGTCCGCAATCCTCAAACTTTGCAAAGAATTTTCGGATATATTTTATCGTGAAGGCGAACCACTAACTTTCACAAACAAGATAAAACATCAGATTCGAACTACTGATGAGATCCCAATTTATTCCAAGACCTACCGGTACCCCTTTGTTCACCGACAAGAAGTAAATGACCAAATTCAAAAAATGTTCAAATCGAACATTATTAGGCAAAGTAATTCGCCATATTGCTCGCCCATTTGGGTTGTGGCTAAGAAGATGGATGCCTCTGGCAAACAGAAATGGCGCGTCGTAATAGACTATCGTAATCTTAACGATAAGACTATTGACGACAAATATCCACTTCCCAATATAAACGACCTGCTGGACAAACTAGGAAGATGCCACTATTTCAGTACGTTGGATCTTGCTAGTGGTTTTCACCAAATAGAAATGGATGAGAAAGACATTGAAAAAACAGCATTTAACACCGAAAATGGCCATTGGGAATTTTTGAGAATGCCGTTTGGTCTTAAAAATTCACCAGCCACGTTCCAACGAGTGATGGATAACATCCTCCGAGGAATTCAAAACGAAAAATGTCTCGTTTACCTCGATGACATTATCGTATTTTCGACGTCTCTTCAAGAGCACTTAGAAAGGCTACGATCTGTCTTTACCCGACTACGCGAATCTAACTTTAAAATTCAGTTAGATAAATCCGAGTTTCTAAGAAAAGAGGTTGCATACCTCGGACATATAGTAACTCCTGAAGGCGTGAAACCTAACCCCGACAAAATCTCAGCAATACAAAATTTCCCTATACCAAAAACTAATAGGCAAATAAAAAGCTTTTTAGGACTCTTAGGCTATTATCGGCGATTTATTCCAAATTTCGCTCAACTCACGAAACCTCTCACTAAGTGCCTCAAAAAAAGGCGCAAAAATTGTTCACGACGACGAATTTGTATCATGTTTCGAAAACTGTAAGACATTACTTACCAACGACCCAATACTTCAGTACCCAGACTTCACAAGACCGTTCAATTTGACAACTGACGCAAGCAATGTAGCTTTAGGGGCAGTTCTTAGTCAGGGTCCAGTCGGTAGTGATTTGCCTGTAGCTTATGCGTCACGAACCTTAAATGATTCGGAAAGAAATTACAGCACTACCGAAAAAGAGTTGTTAGCTATAGTGTGGGCTACCAAATATTTCAGACCTTACCTCTATGGGCAGACCTTCAATATTATAACAGATCATAAACCCCTCCAGTACCTTTATTCATTAAAGGAAGGCGTCTCCTCAAAATTAATGAGATGGAAAATGAAACTTGACGAATATAATTTCAAAATCATCTATAAAAAAGGCAAACTCAATACAAATGCTGACGCTCTTTCTAGAATCGAAATTCATACTAAGGAAACTAACGATTTTTGGGAACAACTCGATGACTTCCTTGGAGAAGCCTCCAACTATCAGAATCAAAGAATTACCTTTGTAGATCAAAATTTAAACACACCTCCCACGACACAAGCTAATCCAAATTCACCACTGATAATTCAAGATATTAGCTACCCCAATTTAAACCCTGAACTAGACGATATCTCAATGATTGTCAACTTGGACAATGAAACAGATCAACCTGACTGTCAGGAACTTCCTACCGTTGACAATACAAATACTGACAAAGATATAATCAATGAAACAGAACAAACTGACTACCACGAACTTCCTTTTGTTATTGACAAAACCAATACTAATGAAGACGAACTTGACAAGGATGATGAAACCCGGCACTCTAATAATCAACACCCGGTTGTTACAATTCCTATATCAGACCAACCATTGAACTTTGGCCAAAATCAGATCGTAATTAAAACGGTCCTGCACTCTCCCGCCAAGCCGAAAATCATAATTTTATTCGAGAGAAAACAGCGGCTATTAGTGCAAATTTCAAAGAACAACCTTGAATCAGGGGAGTCCGTTCCTGATCGTTTTACTGTTAGCAGCCAGTGAACCGAGCTCTGACTTAAATCATTCATAGGTAGTGAAATTCAAATTGTTTTAATACAAGTGCATCATCGATACACCTATAGATACCAGTATCAACATACGCTGTGCGTAATATTTTGTAATTGTATCCAGCAATCTACAAATCTCAGCAAACAGAAATTCCTTTTTCCGCGAGCAAACAGCGTTCCAAAATAAACACATTTCTGCGGACAGGACCGTATCGAGATATGTTACAGCAACTCATTCCACCAGATGAGTTCAACTGATAGATCCGATATGGACAACCCAACTACACCAGAAAACAATACTTCAGTTCAATCATACTCTCAAATTTTGAATAAAAACTCAGTAAAATATCCAAATAAAGAGCAAGCTATCATTTTCAATGCTATTGATGGATTAAAGATCCAAGACTACTTATTGAAACTGGGCCCAATAGTGAACCCAAAAAACATCTTATTCTGCTCTAGAATATCAAATAACAGAATATGTATTTACCTATCAAGTAAACAAATTGTAGACCATTTCCTAGGGAATCCTGGTGAGATCATCATTAATGGAGAACCAATAAAAGCTCGCAG